TCTCTCTCTCTCTCTCTCTCTCTCTCGCTCTCTCTCTCTCTCTCTCTCTCTCTCTCTCTCTCTCTCTCTCTCTCTCTCTCTCTCTCTCTCTCTCTCTGTCTCTCTCTCTCTCTCTCTCTCTCTCTCTCTGTGTGTGTGTGTGTGTGTGTGTGTGTGTGTGTGTGTGGAGTTCTTTGATGTAGGAAGTAATTCGTCCATGATTCTGTTCATGTTAGTATTGATGATTTTTCACACACCCCTTTGTTGTATCCAGGATCATTTCAAATCGCAGTCGGAATCGGAATCGGAATCAACTACGGCCAACTGGCCAACAATCTCCCGCCCCCGTCCGACGTACTCTCTCTCCTCAAAACCCTCAAAGTAACCCGAGTCAAGCTCTACAACCCCGATTCCGACACCCTAACCGCATTCGCAAACACCGGAATCGAATTCATGGTCGGCGTCCGAAACGAGGACCTCCAAAGAATATCCGACCCGACCCAAGCCCAATTATGGGTCCAACAAAACATCCGGCCCCACACCCCGCAAACCAAGATCACCTCCATCTCCGTCGGAAACGAAATCCTCGGCTCCAGCAACAATCAATACGCCCCGTTTCTTCTTCCCGCCATGCAAGCCATAAGCGGGGCCCTCGGTAACCTCGGCTTGAGCGATGACATCTATGTGACATCAGCACATTCGTACGCCATCCTGGCGAACTCCTACCCGCCTTCTTCCGGATCCTTCAAGCAAGAATTCGTTGGGGATATAAAAGGAATTCTTGATTTCCACTCGAGGACGAATTCGTCTTTTCTCATAAACGCTTACCCGTTTTTCGCTTACAAAGATAATCCAACGCAAATACCGCTCAACTACTCGATTTTCGAGCCCAGCAAGGGTATGACGGACAACGTCACCAATTTGCACTACGATAACATGTTGTACGCGCAAATCGACGCGGTTTACTCCGCAATGAAATTGTTGGGGCATACGGATGTTAGGGTTAGGGTTTCCGAGACAGGGTGGCCGTCCAAAGGTGAGACAGACGAGGTGGGGGCCACTACGGAGAACGCGAGGTTGTACAACGGGAATTTGTTGAAGCGGATGGAGAAAGATCGAGGCACTCCCGCGAATCCCGATAAGCCGATAGACATTTACATTTTTGCCCTTTTCAATGAGGATTTGAAGCCCGGCCCCATCTCCGAACGGAACTACGGATTGTTGTACCCCAACGGAACTCCCGTGTACGAAATAGGGTTGCGTGACGATGGCTCCCACGGTTATGTTCTTCCGCAGATGGAGTACTCGTCTTCGACTAAAAATGTAAGAGAAATTTTTCTATCGTTCAATTCGTTCGTGGCTTATTACGAGCATTTGTCTCGTGGAAAATTTACGAATCATCTAATCGTTCTTTTTACTTGCTTTACAGGTCATGTTCTTCTCAAATGTGTTTCTTCTTTTATTGATGTGTTCTTTATAGGTAAGGAATTTTATTGAATTCTTGAAATTTCTCATTTTCACATAAGGGTGTGTTTGGGAGGTAATTGTTTTCTAAATTAAGGGCTACTGCATGAAATTTATTACAGATAAGAAACAACAATTGACTGAAAGATTGACCACCTAATTTCGTAGGATACCTAATTTTCATTGATTGCCTTAAATCTTAATTAGTAGTGGAGAATGGTAAGAAGTCTCCATCATATCTTAATGCATTTGAATTTTACTGTCATTGGATCCCTATCTTCTTCAAGACAAAAGTCCTTTTTGCCCCTTATCAAGAAAGAATAGTTCATCCCAGTCCCATATTCATTTCTGTATTATTATTCTTGCATATATTCTTTCATTGCTTTTAGATCTTTTCAAGATCTTTGCATCATCAGCTTTTGTATACAACTGTTAAAACTTTGTCCATTTTTAGGTATCAGACAATTACCTTAAAACCATAATTAATTTTATATCGTTTTATATGACTCTCGACTATTTCACGAGGTCGGTCGATCTTTCGTATTTGCAGGCGGAGAAACATTAGAGAGTTGCGTATTCGGTGATTCAGATCAATTTTCGTTGAATAGTTTATTAATAATGCAGAGGAAATAAACAAGTCTTTGTCTAACCATTTTTTAGTAAATTAAAGTTTTCAAGTTTAAATTTTCATTTCTGATAAATTCCTCCATAGATATAATAAAAATTGATTTTTTCCAACTGACAAATTACTGGTTATGCCCTTGAACAAGTCATAGTCCAATATTTAAACCACTCCATTTGTAAATAAGAAAAGGACATTATAATTAAATCAGACAGGCTGTTCTACTTGTCCCACAAACAGACATTCAAATGAATCTATGTCCAAATTCATGAAAATATAAGCAACTATACAAGAGATTATCGAAGACAAACCACGCAAGAGACCGTTTTACTTGACATTTTCCACTATTTTACTCGTTTTCTATGATTCAATCGTAGCCTAAAGTTTTTTATGCATGTTCTATAAATGAGGATGAAACACATTCGACACGAAATATAGCTTCTCAGTGATATTTATCCATATGCACACGACAACATTAATATACAGTAACACAACACTAACGTACAAGTGACACTCTTTTACATGTACAACGCCAAAAGCCAAATCAAGAAAGACGAAACTATATATAAGTGACGATGGGCTAGTCAGAAACAATGAAAGGAATTACGATGGACATGAACGCTCATAAGATAGTGTCGCTGAACCTGTATATCGTGGATCCTTTTCCTTGAATTTTTCCGTCAAACCCTGAAAATCGAAAAAATGAATGTTTGAGAAAGGTCCCAACTTCAGGAAATAAAAAAAAATAAAACATCAAGAGGTTATTGATTTAATGAAGATGTTGCTCACCTTTACAATCATCCCACACCTGAATAAAAAATAATAAAATATCATTAAAGGTACAGCTCGAGAAAAAAAAAGATATAAATAACAATTTTATTGCATAAATATATTAAGAACAGAGGCTTACTCGACAAAACTGTCGAAATTGAGATCTACCCTACGCCCGGTGCCATCTTCGTATCTGGAAAGAAGAACTTGAAGTACAGAAGGTGGTAAAGCATATCCAAGACTATACAGAGCATCCCTCAATTCCGCAGAATCAATGTTCCCGCTTCGGTCTCTATCGAATCTGTCAAACATGGCCTATATATAGTGACGAATTCAGTATAATTTAATTAATTGATTGAATCACGTAACTTTATTTACAAACTTACATCACATTTTTATATCTATGTCTCCGTCATAGAACACTAAGCATCTCTATTCAACGTTTCACCAGTGCTTATATTTTCTTCGATTTTTTTTTTTTTGTTTTATTCCTTTATAATCTATGTCCTACTTCATTTTCATTTCTCTGACTTCCTCTATAACGAAATCGAAGAAATGGATATATATAACAAAAGAGTACTCACCCGCCACTGGCCAAGGCAATTCCACACATCCGCAAATTCTTTCGGCCCTACATATTTTACCAAGAGTAACCGGTAAATACTAAAATCGGTGAACCACATCGCAAAGCTAGACGAGAATAAATTGTAATCGATACTAACAATAACAGAATGGCAAATGGAACTTAAAAGAATAAATGAAGAACATAGAACAGTGACAACACAAATGAGAAATTAACCCCCAAATCCACCAACTCCCCAACCAAGAAATAAAGTAAAAACTACAACAAGTAGACACACACACACACACACACACACACACACACACACACACACACACACACACACACACACACACACACACACACACACACACACACACACACACACACACACACACACACACACCTGTATAGATAAGTATATACTTTTGCACAAATCAACATGTATGTATAGATCTATTGTATGAAATAAAATATTAGGGCAATCTCATGAAGTAAGAGTTTATTTGACAGAAATTAAAATTGGACACAAATTTGAAATTAAAAAAAGTGAGGGTGAGAGAACGGACCAATTCTATAAGAAGATTCGCCGGAATTCCTGAAGAGAAAGACGAGCAATCGCAAAGTCGGGCGGCTGAATTTCTGGTAATTGGAAGACAGCGCTTCCTGGAGCTCCTTCTCTTCAATGTAACCTTTCTGGTACCTGTCAACCATCTGGAAATTCCTGATTACATCCGGAGATGTGCCCGGCGGAAACGAATTGTACACGTTCTGTTGCTGCTGCGGCGGCGGCGGAGGGTAGTACCCATACCCTTGAGGCGGCGGGGTCGAGCCGATTCCGCCGCCGCCGGGGGCATGAGGTAAGTATGGGTTGGGTGGAGTTTGATAGGGGTAGGCGAGCTGGGGTTGATCCGGGCCGGGTCCGGGTCGGGCTGATGGGTTGTATGGTACTTGGGCTTGGCTGCCTCCGGTGTGATAAGCCATTTTCGCTCGAAACTCCGTTAAAATATTTCAGAATTATTTAATATAAAAAAAAAAAGGGAAGAAAATTATATATTTAAGGTGAAATAATAACGCGGTTCGTCGAGGATATTTTAGTAAACTACACTGGCGGCATAGTTATTATTATTCATTAATAAAGAAAAAAAATTTGGAAAAATATCAAAAAACTCCTCATTTCAAAATTTTATATCTAAGAAGTCCCAAGAATTATTCTTATATTCCAAGTACTAAAAGCAAAATATTAATATCTAATACTAAATAGTCCACTGTCAATTAATCCTAGTGGACTAAATCATCATTCATCAAATTGTTAAAGTACATTATGGTTATCCACTGAGGTAAAAGTCAAAGAAAAATTTCTCATGTTTGGATAATTACAACTATCTTTTAATTATGATTTTTCTTATACTTTCATTTTTGTGTGGTCAAATTTAGTAATATCTTCTAGATTATGTGGAATATAATCCAGTTTGTAACCATTTCATCTCGTTCGGGTTCCATATTTAAAATAAGATGATCATAAGATATGATTATTGGCTTGTAAATATCATATTGATGTACATCAGAAACCTCCCTTTTGCACTAAACAAGTACAAACTAGAGAACATTCCACGGAATCTAGAAGATTATGTTGAATTTGACACGATAAGAGTAGACATATATGAAGATTCATAGTTGATAGATAATTCTAAAGTGTAATTACCCAAGCAAATGAGGGTATTTTCGTAGTTTGACTTTATCTGAGTGGGGTGGCCGTAATTTATTCTAATTGAATAGATATAAGGCAATTGGGTATTGAAAGAGTACTCTCCAAGTTTTTTAGTTTCATTTACATGCAAAGGTTGACCTCTTGCACTGCAAGAATCCCTTGTAATTGTTTAATTCTGCATTATATTATATTATTGATCCCCAAATTTAATAATCATTCAAAAGAAATATAGTTTAGTTTAGTTTCTAAATTCAAAAATCCAACTATATATAAATCCATGAACTAATATCCACATAATCAGTGGCACCAAGAACACACAGTCAAAAGTGTAATTTTAAAGAAAGAGAAATGGAGTTATATTTAATGGATTCTCACTCTGAAAAAAAGTTTATCAAAAGAAAAGGCTCTTCTTTGATTAACAATTCCTTCATTCTTGTTTGCTTGCTTCTGGCATTCAATTTCTCAGCACATCTAGTTCAACAATTATCACAAGGTATACATACATATATAATATATATTTTCTTTATGATTTTTTTTCATATTTTTCATAAGTTTTAAATTACATTTTTGTGTGTGTGAAACACAAAATTTAAAACAAAAAAATTAAATTAAAAAATTGTGCAGATGATGTGAGGAGAAGTATCCATGAATGCCTGGTCACTCTAGCAGTCAAGTTTTTGAATTTCTGCATAGCTAAATCGGTGCAGTACAGATATGTCGTCCCGTTGCAAACTCTGCCTTCGTTTACGCCACTGCTGTTTTGGGTCCCGTTGACTTTATCCGTCTCGACCCTTTATTCTTGATTTTGAATATTTCGGTTTTCTGTGTGTGCATGTGGTGATGAAGAAAAACTGCAAGATTGTTCAAAAACTTTGATTCTTCCTAGAATCTCATCACAAGAAAGAAATGCTTGAGCAAAATTCTAAGGTTAAAACCTGTGTTGAGTTTTGATAAATTGTCAATTGAATCGAGCTAGACCGAATTTTATTGAGGCGACAAAAAATCAAAGTCAGAGGTTACCGTGGACATCGGTTACAACGAATGCAGTAAGCCTAGTACATTGTCCAAAGACAACTAGTTACAGTAAAACTTCAATAAATTTAATCCATACAGTTTCACATCTGATACAAATCACACATTGCCTCATACACCTCTAGTGTCAGTAACAAAAAATAATCGGAAAAAAAAAAAAAAAAGAGCGGGCCCAGCCCGATGTAATTGAAAAAAGTACAATGATCACTAACTAGTACATCCTATCAAATTAACCGAATTTCCCACTCGCAATGTTCCTCCAATTAAACTACTCAACACTATACCTATATCATGTTGTTATTGGCATCCATTGTTGCAGAACCCCCTTCCTTCACACATCCATCAAACAAACCCCTTGTATTTTCAAGATTTACATTGTCCGAACCGCCACCTGTCATAACTTGCGGGCCCACATCATGATAATGGGGGGTCATTGCCCCCACAGCACCAGAAACTGCACCACCTGTCATAGCTTGCGAGCCCACATCATCATGATGATGGGGGGTCGCTGCCCCCACAGCAGCAGAAACTGCACCACCTGTCATAACTTGCGGGCCGACATCATCATCATGATGGGGGGTCGCTGCCCCCACAGCACCAGAAACTGCGCCACCTGTCATAAACTTGTGGGCTCATATCATCATGATGATGGGGGGTCACTGCCCCCACATCACCAGAAGCTACACCGGTCAGACTAACACTATCCGCTTTGTTGACCGCCAAACGAGTTGTACCTTCTTCACCGGAGGTACCCCTCTTCAAAGCCCGCCTCTTCTTCTTCCATTGCTGCTGCTGCATCTTCTTCTTCAGACTGCGTTTCTTTGGCTTCTTGACAGCTGGCGTGGGCACCTCCTGGGCGGCGATTCCATGATCGGACACCTTCTTCTTCTTTGGAACGACGGTGTAAACGGAGTTGCTCGAAGTTTGATTTTCAGACAAGGAGATTAAGGCTGTCCTAGCAGCTTTAATCTCGGCTTCTTTCTTCGTGTTGGCTGATGCTCCGATATATTTGATGCCTCCGACTTCGACAGTGCAAGAATACATGGGAGTTTTGCCTTGTCTCTCCTCTTTTAGGCATTCATACAAGGGAATGGCGTAGTTCATCTTTTGAGCATATTCTTGCAGCAAGTTTTTGCACAGACCGGTTTCGTGCTGACAAAAATGTACATTTTTTGTCGTTTAGCTTTTTTTTTCAGATTTTTATTTCAAATATTTATAGAGAAATCAACAAGATACGAAACTCATCTAATTAGATTATTCTTGAAATAATAAGAACAACAATGCCGTACATTCTCGTGTATTATAATATGATAAAAGATAATTTTGCCGGAAAAAATAATAGATACTTGTAAAGGAAAAAAAAATGAAGACACTTACGACAGGTTGAGAGATGCCAAATTCCATATCGGCAGAGTTGGAAAGTTTCATTAGAGCAACTTCAGCAGCTGACTGTTCTGCTGTCTTTCGATTGAAAAATCCAGGCAGAGAATCGTATCTGACATTGTTAACGATAACGGTTGATTTAAATGAAGGCTCGTGCGAACGGCCTTCTTTGATAGTTTCGTAAACTGGAGATGTGAACCCTGCTTTCTGAGAAAACTCTTGTAACCGACTTTTGAAAAGAAAACAGTTTGACACACCTGAAACAACGCATCTATGAGAACTCGAAAAACCCTGAAATTTGAAATTAGGCAAAACCAAGAATTTGAAAGCTCGAAAAAAGGGTATTCCAAAATCACATAACAAACAAGTTTGCGGACAGAGATTTCGATTTTCGACAACAATCTTCTAATACAAGATTTATTAACTACCAAAAAGAGTATGAGGTGTATTACTTGGACCATCTTTAACTTGTGAATCCTGATTGGATGGGTTAACTTTCCTCTTCTTTGCAGATGATTCTACGATGGGTTCGTATCTAGGAGTACCGAAATGCTCTTCTTGTCCGAGAGGGGTGGCAGGTTCGTAATAAGTCCCTATTATCTGGTCATAAACACCACCAATTTCAACCTCACCAGCTTCCATCTGAAATATACTTTCACTTTCCGCCATTCTATCGACTCGTTTATCCGTTTCCTCTAAATACAGTTAACTGCAACAAAAACCACAAAATCACAACCCGTAAGAACCAAAATTTTGTGCGAATCACAAATTACATTCCACTCTGAGTAGGGTTTTTTTTTTTCCAAAAACTCACAAATTTCCTCAAGTTCGAACACGTGGGCTTTCACTTTCAGATTGAATACAGTGATTTTAACCTAATTCAATTAATCAAAGCCTTTATTTTGCAACAATCAACTAAACCCATTCAAACCCAGAGCAAAATAAACAACAAAAATCACAACAGGTTGAGCATAACTAGTATCGAGAAGCATAAATGCAAAAAGAAAAGGAAAAAAAAATAATCAAGAAATACCTGTTAAAAAGGAGTAATTCAGCGACGATGATTCCGGGTTAAGATTTTTGGAATGAGAGGAATTAATTGAAGAACAAAATTTGCAGAAAACAGCAAATGAACAGAGACACACACACAAAAGAGCAGGCTTTTGGGGGATGGGTGTAAAGTACAAATTGGGTCCGTATTCTTATTCTATACAAGGCCCAGTTCTCATGCCAATATTTGTTGGTGTGGATTTTTTGTACATGTTTTTTCAAATTCAATACCAAATATAATTATCTTCTAAATACTTTCTCAAATTCGAAAATTCTAAAAAAATGAGATCTTTTTCAGTTTTTTCTAAGGCCTCGTTGCTTACCTATAGGGCTCGTTTAGTTACCGCTATCGATGGATATATCCATCAATAGTAGTAGCTATGGCTTGATCGATGTTTAATCCTACTAACCAAACGTAGGCCTAATAATATTGTAGACGAAACAACAATTCTCGACATAGATGATAACAATTCCAAAATATGAGTTTCGGGCTACAAAGCCCGAAATATGAATTAAAAAAAATGATAATAAATATCAAGAAATGAAACCAGATCATCAAGAATGGATTTCAAATTTCATAGTCCAAAATTGATGTTTTAGACACTAAACCGTAAATCATACAAAACATTTAGACAATAAAAGTTAGAAAATAATGCTTAATTATCAAAGGGAAAATAAACATATGCTTTCTCATAGTACAAGTATAGTTCATATGATATGCTTTCAACCCAGATCCATGTCCAAACCCGAATAGTTTTGGTAATAAATGGTATTAATCGGAGGGGGTACCCACGGATAGGTAACGTATTGGGGTTTTCTGTCATCCATATCGCTGCTGATCTTTTCTCTTTGCATTCCTGCCTGCGTCATCGGGCTTTGATCAATATGATGATGCTGACTTGTCCTCGGAATAAAATCAGAACTGCCATTATGTGGCGGCACCACCGCACCTGCAATACGAGAATCTGCCAAAGCCTGACTATTTGTACCTACACCAGAGGCATATCTATTAAAAGCCTGTCTATTCTCCTTCCACTGCTGATTCTTGAAACTAGTCTTAATCGGCTTGATAGCTGCTGACACTGCGGGCCCTGCAGAACTAGTTGTACCTTCGACGGAGGTACCACTCTCCAAAGCCTGTTTCTGCGTCTCCGTCTTCTGCCTGTGACGTTTTTTAACTCTTTTGGCAGCTGGTCCCTCAGTGCTGATTCCAGGACCAGGTACCTCATTTTTCTGTGTAATAACATCGTCAACAATATTGTTTGTTTGATTTTCAGACAAAGGGGCGGCAGATTGATTGGCTAGAATATCCTGAATATCCGTGTTGACCTCCAAGGGAGTTGTACCTTCGACGGAGGTACCAATCTCCAAAGCCTGTTTCTGCGTCTCCGTCTTCTGCCTGTGACGTTTTTTAACTCTTTTGGCAGCTGGTCCCTCAGTGCTGATTCCAGGACCAGGTACCTCATTTTTCTGTGTAATAACATCGTCAACAATATTGTTTGTTTGATTTTCAGACAAAGGGGCGGCAGATTGATTGGCTAGAATATCCTGAATATCCGTGTTGACCTCCAAGGGAGTTGTACCTTCAACGGAGGTACCAATCTCCAAAGCCTGTTCCCGCATCTTCCGCCTGTGACGTTTTTTAACTCTTTTGGCAGCTGGTCCCTCAGTGCTGATTCCAGGAGCAGGTATCTCATTTTTCTGTGTAATAACATTGTCAACAATATTGTCTGTTTGATTTTCAGACAAAGGGGCGGCAGATTGAGTGGCTAGAATATCCTGAGTATCCATGTTGACCTCCAAGGGAGTTGTATCTACCTCCAAGGGAGTTGTACCTTCAACCGAGGTACCAATCTTCAAAGCCTGTTTCTGCGACTTCGTCTTCCGCCTGCGACGTTTGTCAACTCTTTTGGCAGCTGGTCCCTCAGTGCTGATTCCAGGATCAGGTACCTCATTTTTCTGTGTAGTAACATTGTCAACAATATTGTCTGCTTGATTTTCAGACACAGGGGGGGCAGATTGATTCGGTAGAATATCCTGAATATCCATGTTGACCTCCAAGGGAGTTGTACCTTCAACCGAGGTACCAATCTTCAAAGCCTGTTTCTGCGACTTCGTCTTCCGCCTGCGACATTTGTCAACTCTTTTGGCAGCTGGTCCCTCAGTGCTGATTCTAGGATCAGGTACCTCATTTTTCTGTGTAATAACATTGTCAGCAATATTATCTGTTTGATTTTCAGACAAAGGGGCGGCAGATTGATTCGGTAGAATATCCTGAATATCCATGTTGACCTCCAAGGGAGTTGTACCTTCAACCGAGTTACCAACCTTCACAGCCTGTTTCTGCATCTTCCGTGCTCTTTTACTTCGTTTGGCCGCTGCTGTGATTCCAAGATCAGGTACCTCATTTTTGTCCATTTGAATTTCAGATGAAGGGAAAGGAGATTCGATGGCTGATATAGCCTGGCTATCAGTGTTGACCTCCAAACAAGTTGAACCTTCACCACCAGAGGTACCAATCTCCAACACCTGTGCCTTCCTCTTCCGCTCTCGAATCTCGAGGTGGCATTTATTTGGTTTGATGACCGCTGCTGTGGGGTCTGCACCGCTGATTACAAGATCCTTCTGTGTAATAGCAGTGTCAACACCTTTGTCTGTTTGACTTTCAGACAAAGGGGTTGCAGATCGGATGGCTAACGTGTTCACCTCCGAACAAGTTGTACCTTCACCAGAGGTACCAATCTTCACATCACGCTTCTTCTTCCTCTTCCGCGGCTGAGTCTCGACAAGGATTTTATTTGGTTCGGCCGCTGCCGTGGGACCCTCAGTGCTGATTCCGAGATCAGGGACTACCTTCTTCGGTGGAATAACACAGTCAGCAGAGTTATCTGTTTGATTTTCAGACGAAGGGGTGGCAGAGTGGATGGCTAACATAGCTGTCCTAGCAGCGTTAGTCACGGCGTGTTTCTTTGTCCCTGCTGATGCTCCGGCATATTTGATGCCTCTGATTTCAACAATGCAAGAAAACATAGGAGTTTTACCTTTTTCCTCATTCCTAATACACTCGTACAAGGGAGGGGCATAGTTCATGCTAGTTGTATATTCATACAGCAAGCCTTTGATCAGGGCATTCTGAAATGTACGATGAAAAGTGAAGGTAAGATAGATGAAACTTATTAGATAAGTAATCAGCATAAAATCGATGAAAGACAATGTGAACTTTTTAGCTAATTATGTACATACATGACCACATTCTTGGAAAATCTAAGTTACAGATGTTAACAGTATTAGGTTGTCCACTGGTTATTGGATAGAGAAAGCAAATGTCAGTTTGAAGTACTCTTCAGTAATTCCTTCTTTCTGACAGCTAAATCAAGAAGTAACATGCTGACTGACGAAATTGTATTGGCAATGTTGTAAAATCTTGGTCCAAAGCAGCACACATCTTGTTTAGTCACAGGTTTCATACTTAAAAACAAGTTTCATTTGGGACAAGATTATAACCTTGAAATGCAAAGCTAACTTATAGCATGAAGTAAGAGTACATGCTGGTCAATATTTGGCCAAAAGATATACATACCTCCAAAAACTAAGACACAAAACAAGAAGTGAAGACACTTACCATAGGTTGAGAGATTACAAATTCCATTCCAACAGAGCTGTAGAGTTTCGAAAGAGCGACTTCAGCAGCTGACTTCTCTGCTGCCTCGCGACTGGAAAATCGAGGTAGAGAATCATATCGGACATTATCCACGGTAACACTTGATCTATAGAAAGGCTTGTGAGAAGGGCCACCTATGATAGTTTCATAAACTGGAGGTTTGATCCCTACTTTGTTGCAATACCTTCGCAATCGACTCTCGTAATCGCAAAATTTTGGGACACCTGAAATTCACCTATGAGTATGCGAATCTGGACCAATAGATACGTTTCTACACATAGTTTACAGTTCCATTAGGAAAAGGTCAGATACAGAGGAAATTGAAAAGCCTCGAAATGTGAACATTTTACTAACGAACTTATAAAAATAAAATCCAAAGAATTTCAATGAACATAAGGGAACTGCCTCACATAATTTCTTTTTGTTAGGGTTCGACAAACAGTCATACAAAAAGCAGGAAAACTATGCATATGTTGCTGTTGCTTCGGGTACATAAACATATGCCAACACATATTTCATATGACTTTCTGGTCAGTATATAATTTCAAGCCTATAACTACTTTGATGCTACAACCACAGAAATATATAGGAGAAAGAGAAAGTACGAGTTATATTACTTGGTGTATTCTTCTTTGCAGATGATACTACGGTTCGTACGAATTTAGGACTATCAACATGCTCTGCCCGGGCAGGAGGGTTGGCAAGTACGTGAGAAGTCTCTATTGTTTTATCATCACTACCACCAATTTCAGCCACACCAACTTCTGTCTGAATACCACCAGTTTCGACTTGACTAGCTTCTATCTGAATACCACCAGTTTCAACCTGACTAGCTTCTGTCTCAACCTGACAAGCTTCTGTCTGAATACCACCAGTTTCGACCTGACTAGCTTCTGTCTCAACCCGACAAGCTTCTGTCTGAATACCACCAGTTTCGACCTGACTAGCTTCTGTCCGAATACCACCAGTTACGACCTGACTAGCTTCTGTCTGAATACGACCAGTTTCGACCTGACTAGCTTCTGTCTGAATACCACCAGTTTCGACCTGACTAGCTTTTGTCTGAATACCACCAGTTTCGACCTGACTAACTTCTATCTGAATACCACCAGTTTCGACCTGACTAACTTCTATCTGAATACCACCAGTTTCGACCTGACTAGCTTCGGTCTGAATACGACCAGTTTCAACCTGACTAGATTCTATCTGAATACCACCAGTTTCGACCTGACTAGATTCTATCTGAATACCACCAGTTTCGACCTGACTAGCTTCTGTCTGAATACGAACAGTTTCGACCTTTATAGCTTCTGTCTGAATACCACCAGTTTCGACGTTACTAGCTTCTATCTGAATAATACCAGTTTCAACCTGGCTAGCTTCTATCTGAATACCACCAGTTTCAACCTGACTAGCTTCTATCTGAATACCACCAGCTTCAACCTGACTAGCTTCGGTCTGAATACGAACAGCTTCGACCTGACTAGCTTCTGTCTGAATACGACCAGTTTCGACCTGAATAGCTTCTATCTGAATACCACCAGTTTTGATCTGAGTAGCTTCTATATGAATACCACAAGTTTCAACCTTACTAGCTTCTGTCTGAATACCACCAGATTCAACCTGATTCGATCCTATCTTAATACTACCAGTTTCAACCAGACCAGCTTCTATCTGAATACCACAAGTTTTAGCCTCACCAGATTCGGTTTGAATACCATCAGTTTCAACCTGATCAGCTTCCATCTGAATATCATCACCAGTTTCAACCTGACCAGCTTCCATCTGAAATATTTCATGTCGATATATCTCGTTATCAACTCGTTTATATTGTTGTCTTAATACAGTTAACTACAACTAAAAATCACGAAATCACAGCATGTAAAGGAAACTATATTACGTAAAAGAGAACAGATCTTCTAAAGGATTAAACTTTAAAAAAAAAAACAGAAATTCCATGTTGCCTTTAGAAATACGACCATATACTGGACACTATCAAATGGAAAACAAAATTTTATCACCATACATTTGCCTCATAGCTGCGAAAGAATCGTATACGCAATGTTGTGCGGAAACTACCAAGCAACAGAGACCGTGTTGAATGAAACAAGAAAAAAATTAACACCTCATTTGAGTTGGTTTTCCGAAACACCAAAATTTCCTGAAGTTCGAACACGTGGGATTTCAGACAATCTCCCATTTTCTTCTCAGCAAAAACGAAAAGTCCTGAATGTTCTATTTTAACCTAATTTACTTATTCAAAAGTCCTTTAGCAACAATTAGCTAAACCATTAAAATCCCCAGACAGAAATTAAACAACAGCAAAATAAAGAGAAACAATTAATTTTCTACTTGTGAGCCAATGCAATTACAGAAAAATCAGTAAAGCATCCATTCACGAAAATCATAATGTAAAACATACATATAGATTATACGACAAATAAAAAATCACAACGTAAATAAAATTAAGAACACAAAACAAAGACGTACCAAATAATAAGATTTGGCTCGAAGAAGATTGAAATTCTGGAATTGTTAGAGGAAAATAGTACGGCGGACTCTAGGGTTTAGGGGTTTCGCTTCGTTCTCATTGTTATCTGACGAACAAAATTGCAGAAATCAGCAAATTAACAGAGACGCACAAGCAAAGAAAGCAGCTTTTCTGATAAGTTTTTGGGCTGGGTTTTGGTAAATACTAGATAGGCCCAATTCATTTTTAATCAAATAAGCCCATTTTATATAAACTGATTATTTAAACTGATTATATTTGGTCCAATATATAAATAAATAATTATTTTCAAAAAAAATAAAAAATAAAGATTATATAATTACTTGCTCAAAATTTTCTAATCAAGAAAATAATAATTTGGATTTTGAATGACCTCCTTATTTCGTGCTTTTGTCAATTCTTGTAATTTATTTTATCTATTTAATTATAAAAATAAATACATAAAAATATCGATGCTGAATGATGATTCGTGTTGGAGAGGAAAATAACTTCAAATTAATTTGTTAACAAAAGTCTGAAGAAAAATAAAATGTGTGCATAAATCCACTTATACATACATATATCATTAAATAAATAAATATTTAATAAATCGTCGCAAGAGCATCCGATTTTAAAGGGAATCATCATATGACAGAAAGAGAATCAACAATGAGGCTCAATCTGCATTGTCGTCATTTCCATCACTTTCGACTTCACGCCGTTTGTTTTTACCTGGACTTTGTGCAGGTGGTGGCTCTTTCCTTTTCGCTTTCTTGCTTGTGTCTTTTCCCTTTGATGATGCCGATTTCTTGTCAGCGTTCTTTTGTCGAAACTCTGCACGAGATATCAATAGTAGAAGATGAATAGGAGATACAAAAGAAAGTTGCAGAACTCAAATTCGTTGGTTGATTAATTAACGGCATTGATAAGCTGATCAAATAAACAGCCCAGAATCGTAACATCCTAGAAGCTCAAGATTTGAACTACCTTGTACCTTGTTGAAACCAAGTACAATCCTAATCCAAAAACATCACGCAAAAATCGGTAGAAATAAAAAAAAAAATATAGCGTTTTACTATATATTTTTGAAGCATATTGATTTTGGACCCAGAATTTGGATAGAGTAAAGTTTCTCAGGAAAGACTCAACTGGGTTTTTTAAGCTAAGTGAAGCCCATAATTTTGTTCCCCTTCAAGTACGACCAGCTGGGAAATCTAACTTATGAGGAAGACGATCCGACCTAAATAGCTTTTGAGGCAAGTGTCAAGATAACTGACGAAGACGACAGGAGTGGTGATAATGGCAAGTCGGGTACTAAAGCACGGATTCACATGTCAACCTCAAAGACATTTGAAGCAACTAGTTTATTATAAGTTTAATTGGGATATTTTATTTACGTATGCAAATTGCATGTGGCATTAAAGATAGAAGGGTAAACAGAGACATTCAAATTTCTCCTCCCGAACGAACTCACCGATAAAGTTAATTGACTTACCAAATGGTATACAACGGTGTCTGAGTGGCTGACTCAATTTATTTTTTTCCTTTTCTATTTCTGAAGATCTTTGTTAACTGATGAACAATAGCCCTACTAAAAGAGATTACACAGAAATCCTGATGTTTAGGAACACTCAAACACACGAGGCATGAAGTTTAATTTCAGCATGTTTTCCATAATTATTATACTCATTTGATGCAATGAAGAAAAAATTATGTTCCAACAATTTTAATCATTAAAACTTGCAGCAATACGTTCAGTTATTCGGATGGCTTTTGCCTACATTTTAATAATCTGAACTGCAGAATAGGGGGTAAAAGAGTAATTTGTATTGAAGGATCCGATAAAAGGTTAATGTAATACCTTCAAGAGAAGCTCTGAGAGGTCCAATGAACTCGGAAAAATCTATTTCTTCCAGGGCCTTGAATACATCTTCCGCATTGATTATTTGTCTGTTCGCCTCCTTACACGTGTCGTTGGCGCTGGAGATATCAAACAAAATCGTATACAATAAACCACATATCTAATTTCACCATTACCTAGAAAAACCGAGATCTTTAAAAATCACAATGCTTCACAAACAAAGGAAATGGCAGGCAAATCATAATCAGGTAATCATTAATTAAAGTCAGAAGAACCAGGAATTGAAAAACTAAACATGCTTATCTATTATCCAAAAAAACCCTAATCAGAGAAAAATTAAAAGTAAAGACCAAACCCTAGAAAGTGTCGGAATAGCCAGCCCTATAATTTAATAGATATAGCCCACAAAGCAAACCCTAGAAATTGAACTCCAAAAACAAATTCGAAAAAAAAATTTAAACATTTAACCACTAAAATCACTGCAAGCGGTACGAATTTTAGACAAAAAATATGTCAATTAACATGTTTTCCACACGTTTTAGTATGTGTGTGTGGGTGTGAATGGGGGGCTTACGTGGCGGAGAGGTAGTGGATGAAGATGCGGGCGCTCTCGCAGAAGGCCTGGAGCGAGTCACGGAGGAGGGAGATCTCGTAGTCGGAGGAGAGCTGGGAAAGCTTCTCCTTCACCACGCGGCGCACGATAGTCTTCGGCAGCTCCTCTGCTTCCGAAACCACCTTTTCCGTCAACTCTTTCTCTTTCCCACCATTCTCCGCCATCTCTCTCTCTCTCCTACACGACGGGCGATTGTGATTCAGGTAGCGGCGCCCCGATGGTATTTGTGTGTGCGCGGGCTGAATCGTTCAGCTTTTATTTTCCCGCCATCTCCCCAGAGTAATGCTTAGGTGATATTAGATCCTAATAAATAAAAATTAAAAACTATGAAATGTCTAAATTTATCTAAATTATTCCAAAACTAGAAATAAAATTTGTTGGAGTATTTTAACACTAAATACATATTATGCATCCTTGTTATTATTATTTAAGTAATCGCACGATCGGAGCAAGTGAATCTGTATTAATTGACACAAATTCGAATTTCCTTGTCAGTGGTCGGTGGTCGTTAGATCAATTTTGTCACACATAGTTAATCTAGTGTGGTTTACGTTTCTCGTATGGATTGCAAACTATTATTTAAGATCGTATTTGATAACAAACTTAAACTTCATTAAAAAATTAATAATAATAATAATAGTAATAATAAAAATTAAAAAAAAAATCCCAACATATGAAAAATCAATCTCTATATAAGAAATCAATCCAAGGAGTGAACGAAGATTAAGTTTCAGACAAAATCTATAACAGCAAAAACATGCAATATACCAAGGTGTCCAAAAATCAATAAACCCAAAACACAATGGTAAGATTTGAAAGTATAAATTAGAAAACAAATATGACTAGTAACTCCTTCCCCAGTAGGTCCACTTTTTAGCAGGCTTTCCCGAGGCGAAGCACAATGTACCTGTGCATAAGATCGAGAGTATATAATTATGACATGTACAATCACAAACAATTTCGCAATTAATACAATCACGAGTATTGCATTTCTGTGTACTGAATTACATGGAAGAAAGAAAAACAGTACCTTCTGGGAGTGCAGGCTGATCGAACGGAGTACACAGTGACTTAGCTGCACCCATTTCTCCCTTGGTTCGGGTTTTCACATCCTTCTCCACTTCCTGTGAAATCCAAAGAAAACGACACGAAAAATAATAAGTAAACCTAAGAATTTTTATACATATATGATATACCTGATCTTTGAGAAAACGTGCAATAAAAGGGAAATAAGCCCATACGGATTGCAGTGGTATATATTGGTAGAGTTTTTATGAGATAACAAAATGGGGTTAGATAGTGAAACGGACAAATTATGGTAGGAGAACATTAACGTTTGTAATAAGGCTTTCAATACGAGGATATATTGCCGAAGAGACACATATATATTGCCGAAGAGACACATAGGCAGCTAGATGAGAAGAGAAAATAAAATAAAAATAAAAATAAAAACTAGATGAGAAGAGAAGAGTTGAAATACCTCCTCGTCACACCAAGGGGCGAGAATCATCTTCTTTTGACCAAGTGCCTCTGCAAACTCTTCCCATGTATGCACAGTATGGATGCATGCATCTCGTTTTTGAGTGGCAGCATCAAAGAGACTTTTCTGGATACTATCGAGCATGTCCGTTACTCCTTTAACCAAATCAGCCATCGGAATATCACTTTTAGCTGAATTGTCACGTCGCACCACACGAACCTGACATAGATAATAATAAATAAATAAAAGTTGACTTGAGTAGGACAGAGAAAGGATGTCAATACAAACGAAAATTGTCAGGAATTCGGAGTTTAGCGTACCTGATTATTTGCTAAGTCTTTGGGTCCTATTTCGATCCTAAGAGGAACACCTTTCATCTCCCAATGGGAATACTTCCATCCAGGTGAATAATTATCTCTATAATCAGCCTCGGCACGAATTCCTGCCTCTTCCAATGATTTTATAACGTCGGCACATGCATCGAAAATCCCCTGAGTGTTTGCATCTTTATAGGGAACTGGGATTACGACTACTTGGAGTGATGCTACTTTAGGAGGCAGCACTAAACCCTTGTCATCACCGTGAACCATTATCATCACTCCTATCTGCCATTGATATAAAGTAACAAATGTAAGACATATAAACAAGAAAACCTAAGCAGTCTTTTTGGTACAATTAAATAGAATTCGACTTTGCAAGAACACCTAAAAACCTCTTAAAAAAGGCAATAATGTGAAGACTATTTACCGTTCTGGTGGTATATGCCCAGGAATTCTGCCAGACCATAGACTTTTCTCCTTTCTCATTCTCGAAATTAATTTCAAACATTTTTGCGAAGTTTTGACCCAGACAGTGCGAAGTTGCACCTTGGACACCGCGACCAGTGTTTGGGACAAAAGCCTGCCATATACAGAAACCAATCGTTTAGGCATATGGTAAAGAAGTTTCCTACATAGATATTTTCTTGCAAATTATTCCGGAAGAGTAACATCAAAAGAGCATCAGCGTATTGTCACCTCGACGGTAGTTGTATAAAGTCCACCAGCAAATTTCTCGTGCTCACTCTTTTTGCCCTTAATAACCGGAACAGCCAAGAATTCTTCATATATGCGTCTATAGAGTTCCAAAACATCTAGCACCTGAAAACGTACGACCATAAGGCAGTTCTATTAATACAAGAAATTATTTTGGACTTAATTAAGAAAAACACATGAATTTATCAATGGAGATGTTACTAATAGAACAGCAAAGGAAAAATACAACACGATTCTTTGAATCATTAATTTGTTGAATAAAATATAGATAGTCGATAAACAAGTTAGCTCTGTGAATTATTTAAAAAAAACAAGAAAAAATACCTCAGTATCTGCCTCCTCCTTGGTTGCAAAGGCAGTATGTCCTTCCTGCCAAAGAAACTCACGACTCCTGCAAAATCACAGACTGTCAACAAAATAGAAGGAAAAGGCGGCTTTCAATAAAATCCTATATTCGTTCTGCGTACCGTCAAATGATAAGAGATATAATAATTTGTTACATAAACATTAGTATCTCAGATATTTGAAATAACCTGCTAAACCAAGTAATACCACTTCCTACAAATACAAGTACAATTTAACTGCTGCACCAAATGAGCAGGAAACTAAAAACACCATATGCGCACCTGATGAATGGAGTGGGATTGCTGAATTCCCATCTAACGACATTACACCACTGGTTAAGTCTCAAAGGCAAGTCGCGGTGCCCCCTAATCCACTTGGAAAAGTATGGATACATAACTGTCTCACTAGTTGGACGGATCGCAATGGGCATCTCCAGCTCTGAGTCTCCCGATTTTGTAACCCATGCAACCTTCAAAAATTGAACAGTAGTAGACACTGATAAACATTACTAACCGACAAAGAAAATTAAGTAAAAGCATTTCGAAAATCGGGAGAGGATACAGAGTAGAAAAGATAGTCCAAGTCCCCCAAACCATATTATGAATAATTAGATGAACTGCAAATACCAAGTTCATAAAAAGGTATTAGCAGTCACTTGTTGAACTTAACCTTTCCGGAAATTTGGGCAAAACTAACATATATTGATACAAAAAAATATTCATGTAATTTGCATAAGTTTCAAACATATTCTTCAGCAAATACCAGTAATAAGAGCCAAAGGGAAGTAATCTGACCTCAGGTGCAAACCCCTCAATATGATCCTTCTCCTTTTGTAGGACGCTAGAGGATACAAACAGTGGGAAGTAGCAGTTTTTTATTTTCATTTTCTTGATTTCAGCATCAAAGAAGGTCTGCAATGTAACATTGCCAAGAAAATTAGAAAGAGGCATCCATATCAAATGTTAAGAAGATTGAATGAATGTCAAGTGGGATAGAACAGTAATTCTTGAAGGAAGGAAAAAGTACTTTCCAACAGTATTATATTATTCTTCGTAAAAGTTAACATGAATGCCCACAAATTGTATGCACAGAGTATGCCATCATTTGAATGTTACTGAAACGACAAGTCCAAACTTTAAATGCATCAATAAGCGGCAGAAAGCATCAAAGCAAGATCTATAAAAAATCGGATTTTCCGGGTTTGGATTACAAATAAAGATTAGCTGAATATAGTGATGGGAAAGATAGTTTAGAATGTCTGATATAAAATGTGAGTTACTTTAAGATAATTATGGACTGCAGTTCTCTACACGATGAAAGAGCTTTTATGATATTTCCTAGACTTCCGTAGAAAGCCACTTGATCATAAAACCTTAATGCTCAATCAGCCAATATAATTGTCGTCTTCATTTAATTTTCTTATGTAATACTTACTTGCATGACCTCCCAAATTGACATTGCCCATGGTCGCAGAATGTAACAGCCAGATATGTCATAGTATTCAATCATTTCCCCATTAACAACAACCTGTACACAAGGCAAAGCAACCAACGAAGAAGATCTATTGGGTTAACAGGGTTAACAGAATTATCATTTAACTAATTAGCATGTCATCCATCGTACTCATACCTCAGAGTACCATTCTCCGAAGTTCTCATCCTTCTTATAGGAGAGACCCAGACCGGTCTCCTTTTTCACTTCCTTCTTCTTCTTCCCCTCTATACAAATGACAGAAGATCAGAAGAATGACCACATACACGAACAAAACAAAAAAGGCCATCCGCGTAAGAATATAAACAAAGAAAATGAGATTCAAGATAGCTTCTGAGAAAACATAAATAGCGCAATAGTACTCACTGGCAGCAGGGTTGTTGGCACCTTTACTGGCCATGGCTATAAGTCTTCAACACTCTGAATACAACCTAAACATACAATATGAGGAAAAAATGGCAAAAACCAAAAGTTAATTAAATTGTTGGAATGCCTTTTCGAGTATATCGGCGTTTTGTTAGTCTTGCTTTAGTATGACATAAGCAATGCAAGCAAAATCCCTAACGAAGGGGTGCACATATGACAATGTAAGTGTTGATGGAGTTATATTCACAAGGCAACATAGAGGTGCAAATGTGAGTGTAAGCATTGCATTCATTTCGACAGACACAAAAATGTTAGTAGTTTCTAAAATACATGATGTACAAAGACAGAAAATAAAATTTATCAATACGAACAACATATTCACAAATTGCACCGAAGTTCTGATACATTTCAACGAGTATAGAACAAACAGATTCGGATACAACAGCAAATCCAAGTAGTTACAAAGGGCGATTAACTAAATTATCGATTTAAGCAGTGAATGGAATATAATTATAAATTTCCATAAACTATACCAAAAAAAAAATCAGAAGATTCTAATTAATTACAATAACTCCATAAAATTCACCACTTCACATAGGCATGAAATTATCAAACAAAGCTAAAAGGCGCGCATCGGCGCCTCGTCGTATACAGATCGGAGAGTTCAGACACAGACAAAATAATTTCATATAAAAATCAAAACGCTATGTTCCAATATTAAACATTATTTCATACTTCAGTAGCAATTACATCATGAGTCGACACATAAAAAAAAGGAAATCGAGAAGAAAAAAAAACTTCGAATGCAGAACGGAAATTCGTACCGGTGACGAACAGTATCAGAATACGACTTCCTTTCTCAGAAATCGTCGATGCGCCGCCGCCGCCGTAACGCACTGTGAGAGGAAGCGATAGATAATGAAAGAGGTTTTAGGCGTTGAATCCTTTCGTTCTCTTTTAACCTTACTATAACGGTAATTATGTAATGTTTACGGTCAAAAGTCTTTCGTTTAATGCTTCTTTTATCGACTGTAACATTGTTGTTTTACCTTTTTACCCTCACAAGTTATTGTAATTTGGTAAAAGAAAACACACATTCTTTTGGAATAAAGTTTAGGACTTCTTAAGTTATTGTTTTTTTCTTAATCAAAATTTAGGAAAGTAAATATGTTAATATTACAACTGTACCCTTAAATAGGAGATGAATATATTTTAGAAAAATATATTATGTCCAAATAAATAAATAATATTGAACAGATGAAGTATTTGTTATCTGAATTTTTGTTACAAATGGTGCAAACATATATTTAAATAAAAAAAAATAGAATGTGATGAGCCTAAGCCCAAAAGTTTACATCAAAGTCCAATACTATTGGTCCAAATCTATAAACACAATTATCGGCTAAGAGCCCATAATGAAAAATCAATCATTTTAGGCCCAATCGATAAGCTAAACTTAATTATGCTCCCAGCCCATAATGTGTATAAATACTAGGGGTGAGCAAAAAAACCGAAAAACCGAAAAACCGAACCGAAAAACCGAAAAACCGAGCCGTTTTAAACCGTACCGAATAGCAAACCGCATGTACGGTTTTTTATTTTTGAAATACCGAATTATTGGGTTCGGTATGGTGGGAAGGTAAATAACCGAACCGAAAAACCGAACCGAACCGAAACTATAAAATGACTTCATTTTATATAATATATGTATTATTTTACCCTAATATTTATTTTCTATCTTTCAATTACTTGTCTCATTCTAAGCATTTGTTCATAAATTGAGACATTGTATTTTATTTATTTAGTAAGTAAAAATTTACTTGAGTTCATGGTTTTAATAATGTGGTAGATGAAAGTAGGAAAAAAAAGTGAAGCATAATACATCATCTAAATTACGTAAGTCCTATGAAATTAAAGATTTTATATTTTCATTGCATTAGTAAGTTGTGAAAGTAATTGTAATTGTATTTTTTTGTTTGTACAACAACTTGAATATATATTGACACTTGAACCGAAAAATAACCGAAACCGAACCGAAAAAAACCGAAACCGAACCGAAACCGAAAGAAACCGAACCGATAAAAAACCGACATACACGGTTTTTAATTTTACAAAAACCGATATATTGGTTCGGTTCGGTTTTTTGCTAAAACCGAACCGAACCGACCCGTGCACACCCCTAATAAATACTACATAATCATCATAATTAACGTTTATCTAGTTATTCATTAAAGCAGTAGTCAACTCAATAATAGGTTTTAATTTATCTTTATATATAAAAGTAATTAACACTACGGCAACCCGACATTTATGTAATATATCATTTTTTTTTTAAATTAACATTTTAGAGGCTTAAAAATTATAAATGCTTCTCTAATTTAATTTATAGATGTGTCGTCTTACATAATTAAAGTTCTGCCAATAATAAATTAAATGTCGAATTTATCAATTTCCAACCGTCCATATAATTAAAATTTAAAATGCGTCAAGTTTAATTGTGGCGTCATAAAATTAAAAATCATGCAAGATAGGATTAAAATACTATATTTGAAAAGTTATTGCATGTAAAACTGAAACATGACAAGTTAGAGCACTAAATTCCTAAATAGACTAACATAGAGGACCAAAATTACAATTTTCCCAAAATTTAATACTATATCTTGTTCGTCTCGCGCCTAAACTTCTGCCTAAATCCAAACCGTTCATTTCTAAGATCAAATTCCACATGAAAATTATGCGTCAAGAAATTACCCAGAATTATTGACAGTCCTCCGACAAGCTCCGGCCCCCCAGCAAAGTATCATAAGTCAGTCAGTCACCATCGTCAAACAAACAAACGACTTCCACCGTCGCTAAAAACAATAAAAGGGGTTTGAGGTAAGGGTATTTTGGGGATTCTTGAAATAGTGGGCTCTTGCTATGAAGGTTGAAGGCAAGTGAGTAAGTCTCTTATATGGATTCAAATGCGGGATTGTGTCGAAAATGGTGATGGTGAGAGATGAACTAGAAGATATTGAAGGTAAGAAAGAATGTACGAGAAGAAATAACCCATTTTTTTCGATGAGAGATTACGAAGAAAGATTAGTTCTTCGATTAAGAAGTTGGGGAAGACGATTATTATACACATGTTGCCATATTTGTTTGTACCTAAGTTAGCAAATAAGTGTCACTATTGGGCATGTAATTAAGCGAGATGAAGAGAGGCAAAATAAATGAGTGTGAACAGATAAAAAAATAGAGTGGACCTTTTTCGAACAACCTGGGATAGCTAAATCTAGCATTCAGTGACAAGGTTAGTTGGAACTAGCCATTACTAATCTCAAGATCATAAGATATATTGAATTTTGTTGTTATCAAATCTATGTTACATCAGATGAAATTTAATTTACACTAGATGTATCAATCGCCATTCGATCTGACAGACATACACCAACATGGGTTTTTGTGTTCTCGCGTGATAATGAATTATGATGATATACGCAGTGTACTCATTGTCTTACTACAAAGGAAAAGGCTTCATTTATGAACTAAGAATATCTTCTTAATTGATCAAGAAGGTAAGAATCATCTCCACAAATCTTGTGTAATAAGAAAGCGACTGATCTTTCTAATTAAAACAAATTTAGGCTATCTATTTGGAGATAATTACTATTAGACATTGTTCCAACGACCACTAATTTGATTCTGCCATTTCATTTAAAGCGGCCAACAATAGGAATCCAGCTAGCTCGTATAAATGCTTTTAAATATTTCTGTATTTCGGATGAAAAGGAAAAAATGTAGCTGAAGAATATGTTGTACAAATATGATTTTCACAAAAGTAAAATGTGTGATTCATTGATTGTCACCGGCCACCCATTTTTCCATAGAAGATGGCCTAATTAGACTCCAGGTAAAGTGTAGAGTATTCTAGAAAGCTTCTAGAATCAACCATTATATATAGGGATCCTTAGAGAATTCTAAAAAAATTCTAGAATCCTTATTTGTACATATTTTATAAGAAATTGTTGAAAATGTATCTTAGTCGTTAGATCAAAAGATGGAGTTATATAATTTCCATGCAAAGCTCGTCGTTGCCTCTCCAACGAAGATAGCGCTTCCTTGTTTTGATCATACGGAGCAACACCAGGAGTATCTTAACCAATTGCTCATAAAACCTCTCATTAATCAAAAGTTGGTCGAATATACGAAGTAACAGAGTGACGCTCTCCCTAACGTCAAACTGTTTTACAGCGAAGTAGTTATCAAACTCCGTATTAACAGAATACATGAGGAACTTACAATTGTTGCCAGGAATAAGGTTATCCAATAACACCATCATGTTAAACACTGTAGATTCGCTGATGAACACCATGTTTGGGTCGTGATCCAACAGTACATAGAAAGCTGTTAGT